CTGCAAATGTAATACACATTAGAGATCTCTACATATTAATAAGGCATAACATTTTCCTGCAAATGTAATACATATTAGAGATCTCTACATATTAATAAGGCACAACATTTTCCTGCAAATGTAAAACTTGTTACTCACCCTATGTGTAGTAGCACTGTGTTGTCTACTTTGTTGTGCACTATTTAGTTCACTTTGTTGTCCACTCTGTTCCCCACCTGGTTGTCTATGGCATGTTGTTCTATTGTGACCAACTCCTTTGCATTTACCACACCTAATGAGTGTCCCAGTCTATGGCAATCTCGTCTTGGACACTTTTTTCTCAGTTTCTTCGTTCCTTCTCTCAGTCCTTGGCCTACCAGGCATCTTGACACAACCAGGAGCTACAGGTCTAGGCCTTGGTGATATTGGCCAGCAATCCATGGCATTAACAGGTTACAGACAATGTGCATATGTTCTCTTGAATGCGTCAACATAAAAACAGCTAGCAATGAAACTTGTCAAGTGACTTGTATTGGTGTGTATTGCTGCAATTGCATGTGCACAAGGCATACCAGATACTTGCCAATAACCACAATTGCAGTTATTTTTGTTTAGATCAACACCAAATCTGTAATGTTTCCTTTGGGTGACCTCAAACACATTATTTCCATTGCTGATAGGATGACAACTCCCAGACCAATCTATGTACTTGTTCATCCTGTTATTTATAGCAGGGCATACAATTTCTAATGTCCATTTCTCACATTTTTCAATCATTTCTTGAATCCTAACCATAACCTTTCGTCTAATTGCCTCAAGCATTGAATTGATAGGTAAAAATCTTGCATCTATGATCCATTTGTTGAAACCTTCACAAATATTGTTATCAACAGAGTCACAATTAGATCCTAACCTGAACCATGCCCTTGACCAGTGCTTGGGATCTAACCTGGTTACTGCCCTTGCACCTTCGACAGTCTCTCTTGCTAACTTTGCCCTTGCCAAGTTGAAAAGGCTCACAGAAGAAGCCTTTGCACAATTCCAGAAAAGTCGCTGCCACTCTTTCACTCTGAATTCTTTTCTCCAATTGGCATACACATGTCTGGCACAATTTTCGTGTTCTGCATGAGGGGTCCAATTCTGTACAGTTGTAATGATACCCTGCACACAAATTGTGTTAGACATTGCATCATAGAGATACATCATATATTCCTATGGAAATGAAAGATAGCATATGACTTACTTTTTGTTGTTCTGAAATTATTACCCAGCCTTCACCATCATATACATTGACATCTTTGAAGAGTAATGAGCAAAACTAGTCCCAAGAATCATAATTTTCTTTCTCAACCACAACCCAAGCAATTGGATACATTTGGCTATTCGCATCTCTTCCCAAAGCACATAACAACTCTCCATTTGTTGCTCCTTTGAAGAAGCACCCATCCAAACCAATGACTTTTCTGCAGCCTGCCATGAAACCTTGCTTTAAAGCATTCAAACAAACATAAATTCTTTGAAATGTTGGAATTGCACAAGCTGGATCAAGCTTAACCACAACAGTGCTTCCAGGATTGCTCCTAAGCAACTCTTCCTGATAGTCAAATATCCTAGTGTATTGTTCCTTAGTTGCATCAAACATTTTCTTTATCACCATTCCCTTAGCTCTCTTCACCTGAGAAGTACTAACTTCTGCAAACATATCTTCCCTGATGTGTGCTTTCAGATTTGCAATTTTCCAAATTGGGTTAGCACTGATGATACCTTCATACTTAGCTGCAATCCTAGCAGCAGTAACAAGCTTGTTATCTTTCCTAGAGGGACATTGATGAACATCATTTATACTAGTAATCTGTCAACTAGTAGATTTACTAGTTAGACTAGCCAAACAATACCAATTGCATGTCTTCCAGTCACAAGTTGCCCTATACCTATGATAATCTTCTTTCTGAATTTTTTGAACTTTTTTTGCTTAAGCCCATATTTAATGACTGCCTGCCTGAACTCTTCTTTTGAACCAAATTTCATGCCTAACACAAACTTGGGCACCTCTTCACTATCTTTGAACCTGGGGAAATCATCTGATTTCTTTCTTGCATCACCATCTTCATCGAAGGAGTCATAAAACTCGGATGAATCCTCATAGGGTGTATCATTGCCATCTTTCTCTTCTCTATTCTCTTCTCCCACAGCTTTTGTCGAACCAACTCTAGGCTGCACAAGATATACATCATCCAGTACTGGTATCTAGCCTTGCTTCATCTTCTTCTTGTACTCTACATATTTCTTTTTTGTCTCAATTCCTTCTTCATCTTCTTCCGAAGGACTCTCATCTCCAGGAACATAGTCACTATCTTCTTCATCTGTATCATCTTAGGCTGCCGGCGCGAATACCTGTACTACTTCTGTTGTTACTTCCTCCACTGGGACAATTTGTCCCCGCTCATTTTACCCTCTTCTTCATCTGATGGCAGAGCACGTGCCAATATATGATATTCAGCAATGTTCTCTACATATACTTCAGCTACTCCATTCTCTTCAATTGCAGAAACCATGCTCAAACAGGACGCATCATCATGCAACAAACCAAGCCCATCATGAAGTTCTTTCCCAGGATATAGCCAGTGGAACTGCACTTCATCATCCTTCAAATCCTTCCAGTGATCTTCCTTCAAAAAACCAACTATCTCCAGCAGTGACACTTTGTCTTGCTCCAAATGCGACATCCCGACAACGCCATCAACATAGTGTACATACTGCCTATCGTTCACAAAGTGACCACCGAAATGAAATCGTATGGGCAGAAATTCCAGAGGATCCATCTCACAGCCCTACGGAAAACAGATGAAAAATTAACCTACTAATCCACAAACTAGCCATGTACTACAACTAACTGACCACAAATCGATTTGTTTTACCACTGACTGACCTTAATTTGGAGCTTCTTCTCGTGTCCAGCCGCCACTTTACTCTGAGTCGGTGCTCTGCGGTAGCAAGAGAGCAGATCTTGCTGCGCCACCGCTCCCGCCGTGCGCCGCCGTCTGCCGCGGCGCTGCCCTCCCACTGACCGCCGTCGCCGCCGCCTGCATCGCCACAGCCGCCACCAAAGCTAGCTAGGGTTCGTGCACGGGTCGAAGAAAGGGGATCGAAAGGGGATCGAGCTGCTCGGGTCGGGTCTTTAGCTGACTGGAGAGAGAGAGAGAGAGAGAGAGAGAGAGAGAGATGCGCCACGTCGGCAACGACTAGTCAAACCCGGGCTGAGTCAGCAGCGAAACCGCGTCGGGTCTGCGGAGGGACGAAATATTACTGGTTTGGAAAGTTCGCGGTGCAACCTGTCCGGTTTCGTAGTTGAGGGACCAAAAGTGATCACTCCGAAGAATTGAGGGACAAAAAATGGACTTTTCTCTACTTTAAATGGATACTTGATACCAAAGTTTTAGATCGCGGGCAAAAACAACGCGATCGCGGCGCTATGCGTGCTGTAAGCCTTCCCGCGAGGCGATCCCTTAAAAAACGCGATCTACCGCTAACCGCGCGATCGCGCGCGAAACGACGCTATTTGACTTTGCTGTCGCTGCAAATTCGTGGTTATGGGCCGAAAGACTGAAACACAAGGCCCAAACAGACCAGAAACGGCCCAACTTTCACGATGGTATATAGCACCTCCTCCATAAAACCTAGCTCGTGTCCCCCCATTCCCTTCTGTCCCTCCCATCAAAAAGTTTATGGCGACTGCGCCGTTCTTCCCACCAGCGCTGACTGATGCTTCATTCGAAGCCAGATTTGATTGCGGGGGAGGTGGAAAGGCGACCGACAACGAGGGGCCTCTACACGACACCGCCTCTGCGACCACGATGACATCTTAGTATCACTCTCACATGGTTCCAGCAGCCAGGGCAACCACATCGCCAGGAGGTACATGAGTCCTCCGATTCCATACTTCATTGGTAGAATATTCAGACTTGTTTGTTGATTCAGATTGTAGGCTCTGGGAGGGATTCAGATTTGTTTGTTGATTGGAAGAAGAAGAAGATGATCCCTGTTACTCCTCAAGAAGATCTGCTCTCTGCTTCCTCTGCTTCAGAAAGTGACGACGACAACGAGGACACCGACATGAGTTCTGGTTTTGGCATGTGAGCTTGTGGGTTTCTCTATGAAGTTCCTTTTGGCGCTCATGATTCTATCCTTTCCTATGTGCTTTTGACAAATGAATTCTGAAAACTTTGTGATGCATGTAATGGACTATGGACATGCTGCTGTTGTTACTGAACGTAAGCGTCGAACTGCTGATGTTATGCTTGATGCAAGTCTTGATTTTGTATTTCTATTTATTTGTTGAACTGCTGCAGATCTCTACTATACTTGTTATGTTCGAAATTATATTGAGAATCCTTTGTTTTCTACTGAAAATACCCTGTTTTCTGAGAAAAACATGCACATGTATTAGTATGGATGTGTGATATACATGTGCAAATACTGTAGCCGTGAAATGGGTTAGTGGCCGCTATAGCCGGCGATAGCGGCTGTAGCGTTGGCACAGAGCCAGCCGCTAAATACCTTAGCCCGCGATCTGAAACTTTGCTTGATACTTTAGAAACTGTATAAAAAGTTCAGATTTTTTTTTAAATCGTTAGTTTGCAAGAGTAACGAAAAATAACATATCTGAACTTTGATCTGACACTACATAATGCAGCTCATCTTGTCTTACAAAGATGTAAGGAGAAAACGTAAGAAAATATGGTGGCTTATAAACCTTAAAACATACAGAGTGATCTGATTTTATCAAGCCATCGCCTCATTACTTCCGACGAGCCCAACACATACAATACAATAGCAAGCCATCGCCTCATTACTTCTGACGAGCTCAACACATACAATACAATAACAAGTGTTCTGAATCTACACCCCCAATGAAGTGAATGAAAGGGAATCGAACCGTTGTAACACGCCGTGAGTTCAATAAACTTGGATTATGAAGATCCATTTTCCTGTTGAAAAGGAATAGATATCCCTCAGGCCCCTTATAGCTTGCTGCGATTCACGAGTTCTTTCTTGAGCTGATCCCTCAGGACCCTTCTCAGCAGGTTGTTTGAAGCAGTTCTTGGGAACTCGGGGACGATTTTGACGTAGCTCACCTGTCAGGACGAACACAATCTCAATTCCCTCATTATGGATGCTCCCATCTGATCGTCTGAACTGAATGTCAGAAAAGAGAAGCTCTTACCTTGAAAAGGGGATTGAGGTTCTTCTGAATGGCTCTCTGGAACTTGCTCTTCAGAAGATTTGCATCGCCTGTTGTGGATCCATCTTTTAGCACTGCCAATATAGCCAGTTGTTCTGGTCCCCCGCCAGAAGGTTTGATGCTAACAGCTGCTGTTTCTAGCAGACCCTCATCGGCTCCATTACAAACCCGTTCGATCTCCACTGAACTTGTCTGGTCAGGCAAGAGCAATATTGAATTGGTTTCATGAGATGCAAGAGTGATGACATCATACTTAAAACAATAAAGGGGGAGCTTCAACCTTAATCCCTCCAAGATTCATAGTGTCATCTGCTCTGCCCTGTACGAAATAGTAACCACCTACTGTCCTCTGGATTATATCTCCATGTCGTCGGAGTTGCTGCAGTAGAAATACCGTTACAACATGTGAGCTTTCACCATTCTGGTTATTACTGATAACTTTTAAAAGTATGTAGTCAGATTTATTTGATTAGTTCAGCAAAGGGAACATTGACTCAAATGTTACTAGTACTATTTTTCATAGCACATTTATCATTGCAACTTATATCAGAGCACAATAGCATGTCTAAATCACATATTTGCTTCTCATTTTCTCGGTAGGGTACCACTGGAAAACTTCGAGAACACACTGATTTTATAAAGCTTAAAAAGTTGACTGCTGCAAATGTCGAACATTTTCATAATTTTGTCAAGCAGTTTAGATATAAAAAATTGAGGTAAGCGACTCCATACCCGTCCTTTGTAAATGGGCATTCCATCAAAGTAAACATTATCGTGGTCAGCATTGAGAAGCCGATTGGTAGCACCAAAATACAAAGGGAAGAGACCCACTTCTCCAGAACAAGGTAGATCATCAGGCTGTCATAGCAAACGTCAAATGCTTATGCAGCAAACGCAATCACCAAACTTAGAATATTCTACGAACAATACTTACATATGGATTTCCCTGTTCATCGAGTATGACAAACCCAGTGGACATTGATGGACCACTGAAAGCTCCAAAAGCTTGTGGCTGTAAAAGTCACCCTTGAATGTATGAGGATGCCAGCTCTGTGCCCCCACAGCACTCAACAATGGGCTTGTAACAGGTACGCGAAGATAGCCACAGATTATCATCAATATCAGAAGCCTCCCCTATTGTAGCAAGTACCCTGCGATTATAGAAATTTAGCTTCTTTAGCGGAGCTTGTGATGAAGGTGAATGCTTTCTAACAGTGTAAGTAGCAACTTGCCTGATTTTGGTCCAGTCTAGACCTTTAGTAAGATTCCCTGCCTTCCAAGACTTCACCAAGCTGGGCACAGATCCTAATACACTCACACGGACATCCTGCAATTTGGACATTATCACGAAGCACATGAGTAAAGAGCAGCTTATACTCAGCTTCTAATGTAATATGCAGGGACTTTTGATAAAATCCTACCTGATTCATTCATAAGAAAAAGCTCTATGATGCATAGAAAAAAACAACTTGGGAGAATAGACAAACTATGAAGTTAATTAGGTAGCCAGTAAGCCTTATCTATACCAGATTCAAGCGAAGTAATGGATACAAAAAATAAGAACAAGGCCAAGGCTTACTTTAACTAAAAAAATGGAAGGACAAATCGACTTTAGCTGTTTAAACTAAGAGATGGTGCAAAATAGGCCACACCTGCACAAATTTGCAGAAACCACGTCCAAGTGGAGATCCATGATATAAGGCCAATGTTGCACCATTTAGAAAGCATGAGAATATTTGTATAGGTCCCATAACCCAACCCAGATTTGTAGGCCACAAGTCTACGTCCTTTGGTCGAAGATCCAAATGTGCCCAGGTATCAGCTGCACATCTTATGGGACAAAGTTGTGTCCACGGTATAACTTTTGGCTCTCCTGCACCAGAAGCAAATAGAACAGATCAAATCACACGTGAAGTTGTGAACGTGAGAAACGGTGCAACCAGAGATTAAAGGATATTGTGTCAGAAACTCAAGGTAGTGTTTACCAGTTGTTCCTGATGAAAACAGTATATTAATTAAGGCGTCTGCAGATTGATAAACTGGAGAGTACATGGATGACCTGCAAATCCAAGACATGTAGCTCCCATGTTGGTCACATCACAAAATCACCTCTGTTTTGCAATGTGGGTATTCAAATTTTCACGAAAAGAAAGCATCTGAACAGAGTCGTTTATTTTGAGTGACATGGAAGGATCATTTGCTGCATACCTCCCAGCAGCACAAGAAAGAAAATCTTTCCAGGACATATCACCATTCCTTGGTGTAACTCCAAGACTATCTCCAGTTGCAGGAATTACAATAGCTTTAGCTGAAGTCCCTTCCATGACACGGCTGAAGAATATAATTTGATATATTTAGTTAAGTGCTGAGAATTGTTCTGTGATAGTTCAGTACGTTCATGCAAAAATGTATAATGAAACATAAATTGTTACATCAATGCAAAATGTGATTATTCTCACAAGCTGTGATCCTGCTAAATAACTACAATTTCCTTGTTAAAGCTGAGCAAATTAAGTTACTGAAACACATATATTAACTAAATAATTTGATCCATCATATACCTGTAAAGTGGAAATTTCTTCCCTCCCCTAATTATGAAATCCTGAAATCATGTGGAATTAGTATAAGCACTACTATAGTACTGATGATCGTAAGACTTGCTGGTTGCTACAGTCAAACCTGAGTAAAAATTGCCTTTGCTTTTGCGACCCTCATGCGATTGCCAATCTCCTGGGGTGCAAAACTGTCTGCTATTCCCACAACAACAAAGCCTCCAAGGATGATTGCCAAATAAACAATGACCGCATTGCACGTCATTGGCATGTCTATTGCAATCCGGTCACCCTTTCGGAACATGGTATCAAGGGCAATTGCAACAGTCCTGAAAAGACCAAAGCAACAAAAACCATGATGACGAAATTGTACAATAGAACAGAAGAAAATAAAAGGTTTCTGCATGCCCCCTACTCTTAATTTGTTAAGAAATGCATACATCACTTGGGTGCGAAGCTCCTTCAACGACATATGATTCACTGGATAATCGCCAAAGCCCTCATCCCCCCAGACAATAGCCATGCTATCATCTGTCCTGTTCTGGGCCAAGGTAGCAGACAACATTCGGCAATGTTGAGCACTGCACCGGGGAACCATGACCATCCCTTCTTTGATTTATCTGACGCATCTAGAATCGTCTTTGGTTCTCGTACGAACTTGACGGAGAGCTCCTTCAGCACCAGTTTCCAGTAGACCTACGCAATGATTACCTAGGAGGCTATTATGAAGAAATAAAACTTTGAATTGATGTTCTAGTTATCCACTTGTTCTGTCTGTGAAGTAAATTCCAAATTTAGAAAGAAAAATTGACCTCCTGATTCTGAACAGAGAATCTGTGGAAGAGGCCAAAGCTTGAAATTGGATCCTTATATGATGCTCCTAACAGCTTGGGACCATTCTCTTCCATCACTCTCCCAAGATTTGTTTGCTTACAATCAGTCCTGCAACAATTCACAGACCAGTTATAAGCTAGTACCAAAATAGCACTACTATCTTACTGTTGTTGTTGTTAGACTCAAATGTTGTTAGACCAAAATACTGGGATAAATGGAAGAACCATAAGCTTAAGTGACTCGTGGAATTAGACTGGCAGTCACTTTCACCATTGATGAGCCATTGATTGCTCCCTCTACCCGATTGGATCAAACAGTTGCTAGCAAATTAAGAGCCGGGAAAGAAGCCCTGTTCAGCTGTGCTTCGAGGGGAAAAAAATATGGACGGCGGTCGGCGACTTACGTGGAGGGGAACCAGTAGGGCGGCGGGCCTCTCTGGGCGCGGTCCCAGCCGGCGTAGATGGAGTAGTACACCAGCTGGTGGAGCGCGTGCGGGTGGTCCGGCCGTAGCACCCCGGCCGCCACGACCGCCGCCCACGCAGCGGCAGCGTCGGTGCGGCATTTGCCGGTCGCTGAGCGGAGTGCGGCGAGAAAGGCCCCCGCGTCGGCCGCCGTGAGCCCGGCCGCCTCCACGTCGCCCGCCCGGATCTCCCCAACGCTGCCCCTCACGGTCGCAGCCATGCCCGGCCTGCTCGGCTGCTCGCTCGCTCTCCGCCGGCCTCACGGCGCACGGACTTGGCAGGTCTGACGAGGATGGCAACGAAAAAAAGGTTTAGCTTTGGCGAAATGCTCGTTCTGGGCACGGACGGCGTCCACTGGCATGCTTATACCACCATCTATCTGTCTCTCGATCAACAAACTGCATTCATGTCATCTTCTAGTACTCCCACAGTTTACAGGGCACACTAAAAAAATCTCTGGCACCAAGGTGGTTAGTGATTGGCTGTATCAAATAGCATCGGTTGTCAACTACCACACCTAATTAACTAATGCGCAGTGATTAAACGAGCAGTTATGGCACATGCATTCGTGAAGGAAAAGGACCGCATGCATGGGATGCAGCATACGTGCCTCAAAACGGCCTAACTAACTTGACATTAATTGCCCACATGCCTTAATACTCTCATATTCTGAAAATGCATAAAAACCGTGACGAGAGAGTACTACCTCCGTCTTGGTTTATTAGTCTTTATTATATTTCATGCCAATTTTGATCATAAATTTAACTAACAAAATGTTCGTATATACAAATTCAACGATATAGTTTTGCTGATATGCGTTAACAATTTGTTAGTCATCCCCTTTGTAAACTAATATAAGAGCAATGTAGTGATGTAAATGCTCTTATATTAGTTTACATGGGAGTAAATCTTTGATCAAAATTTGATATAAATTACAAATTGGACCAATAACCAGAACAGAGGTAGTAGGTAATTTTCGCCTCAGATACACGTATTGGAACAAGTCTGGTCCTGGACTGGAATTTTGCATTTGCCCGTCTGGGTCGATCGCCGTCCCAATACCTCACTGGCAACCAATCTGGCCCTGGTTGCATCAGTCTTGGTACAAGACATGGACCACCCATTTTGAGGCAACCAGCCTGTCCCTCTAGCATTCCACACTCATCTGAGATTTTTATTTTCGATGTAAAACACGGCGCCTCAATATTAGTTATCTTTTTTTACTGAGTTTTTCTAAATTTTATATATAATATCACCTATTTATCATTTACCCGAAATAGTTAGGATGCCGATAACGCCCACACATGTGGGCATTAAAAGGGTCTGGCCACACGTTTCGTGTGGTGTCTAAGAGAACCAGCCAACACACCTACGTGTGGGCAAAACAAGTAATGCCCACATGTCTTTTTTTGCCTCGTGGTCCCTCCCACACGCCTATGTGTGGGCAAAATCGATAACCCCCACATACACGTACTCACGGTCGCGCACGCTCCGCGTGACAGTTGTCACACATCCCCGTATTTGCCATGGTCCAGACCCTCTTCCATGTTCGTTTAACTGCAGTTGCCATGGTTGCTCAACTGCAGTTGCCAACTCAGGTCAAGTGCCAGATGCCATTTTTGGACAACTGCAGCTGTTGGCATGTATAGTCTGGTCTACTACAGTTGTCATGATTTGAAAAACTTTAGGGTTTGTCACCTACTAACACTAGGCAGTTGCCATGTAGCACTACAAAAAAGGCATGGCAAAAACACATGTTCGGGTAAAGAGGGAGTTGTCATCTGCTTACAAGCAACTAGGGCAGTTGCCATGTACCCTGCAGAACACATGGCAACTCGAGGTAAAAAGAGAGAGTTGTCATCTGCTTACACACATGGCAACAGACAATTTTGGGTGTGGGAGGAGAGACGGGCGTGTGGGCAAACTGCTAAACACCAACACACCAGCCCTTCTGCGTGCGTGAAAACTGACGTGTGGGCAAACTGCTAAACGCCCACACCTCAGCCACTCCGCGTGGTGAAACGGGCATGTGGGCGACCGCATGAATGCTCACACACCAGCCCAGTACTACGTGGCATAAAAAATCTGCTAGAACGCGCCAGGATTCGTGCGGGAATGGTTGGATGAGGATC